GGATGGGTGGGTGGATGGATGTGTGGGTGGGTGGATAGATGGGTGGGTGGATGGATGGATGGATGGGTGGATGAATAGATGGATAGGTGGACGATGGGTGATAGTTGGATGATGGATGGATGGATGAATAGGTAGATGGATAGGTGGATGAATGGATGGTTGGATGGATAGATGGATGCAGCTAAAAGCTATAATGGAGAACCAGAAGTCATTGGCCAGTTAAAGGTGATAGTGTAATTAAAGAGGCCCACTGTAAGTTGTGTGTGTGTTGAGCTGCGTCTTGGTTCGGCGTGTGGTTGCACAGAGTGTGACGTGTCCACGTGGCTGTGTTCTCTCTTCAGATCGTCCTGGCCTGACCAGCGTAGCGCGAATTGAATGCTGCCAAGAGGAGTTCCTGCTGGCCTTTGAACATTACATCAACTACCGCAAGCACAAGGTGTCGCACTTCTGGCCCAAACTGCTGATGAAGGTGACGGACCTGCGCATGATCGGAGCCTGCCACGCCAGCAGGTTCCTCCACATGAAAGTGGAGTGTCCCACTGAACTGTTCCCTCCTCTCTTCCTGGAGGTCTTTGAGGACTGACCGATGGATTTCTGTGTGTGTGCGTGCGTGTGTGTGAAGCCTGGACACCCTGGTGGTCTCGGGTGGATCCAGCAGAAGGTCCGTCTTTAACACTACTGAGTGTCACTTCATTCCATAGTTTAGGAGCACCAACTTATCTGGTCTAGTTTTGGGTGGTGCCAGTCCTCACTGTGGGAACATGTGAATAACTGAACATCTGTTTTGTTTGTTTATTATTTTCATGCAGATTTCACAATAATTCTCTCTTTTTTTTTATTGGTAATTGTACAGAAACAATGTTTGTTGGGGTTTTTGTTAAAAACAAAAACTCTCGGTGTCTGCTCCCCTGACCCTCAGAATAAGACACCAGCTGTTAGACTTGTTGAACCCATCCTCACCACTGCACTGTGAGCCACGTTTCTAGTTGTCTGGGAAGCTACAACACCGTGTGCCGTGTTCGTCGGCTGTTGGACAAATCTGAAGCTCAAAGCAAAAGAACAGTGTCTCGACCAGAGTGAGTCCCTCAGCTCTGATCAAACATTTTGATTATGTGATTGCTAAATATTGTACATAACGTCTCACCAAGGTGAGAGCAGATGTGTGTGTATAGAGGGACAGATGTTGCTCAGGACCACATTTTAAAACAAAGTCTTGTCCTTTGGAAACGAAACAACAACCCCAATTCTAACTACGTTGTAAAGATGTAAATTAAAACAAAATGCAATCATTTGCAACACTCATAAGCCTACATTTTGTTCACAGTGGAACTTAGTACATATCAAATATTTAAACTATAAAACTGTAGCATTTCAAGGGAAAACAAAGCTACATTTGAATTTGATAGCAGTAAGACATCGCAGGTCCTTGTTTTTACTGTGAAGCATCTCTTTCAACCACAGTCTGTAAACATGAAGAAAACCAGTTGGCGTCTTTAGAGAGGAGCATTGTCCCATTCTTGTCTGATGCAGGAGTCCTGGCTCTGTTACATGATGGATTCTCCACCTGGACTCTTCTTCTACGGAGCCATCCTATTGTGATGGATGCACTATGTCAATGGGGCCCAAAACGAGGATCGTGATCTACCAGTTGATCTCAAATGCATTATGGGTAGATTGCATGGTATTAAAAAAAAAAACGGTAACTTATCATCCATCTATGAAATTTGTCACTTGAGTGACATACAGGGCAGCCAGTCTGAGGCCCCGACGACGTGAGGTGTGAAATGCTCCAGGTGTAAAGTGGCACATGCGCACTACAGGCAGCTGCAGTCCAAAGTTTTTCTGCACTAACAACAGTTATAATAAACGGCAGAGAGCAGAGTGGGGGTTTTTTTTTTGTTTGTTTTTTTGTGCTGCTCACCCTTTTTCAGCATGTAGGAGCAAAACTACTAAAGTCCAGGCACCAAAGAGACGTCGCTGTATCCACCAGTTTGGACGCAACTGCATATGCTGCATGCACGATGAATGCAGCTGAGCCTGGCATCAGGGTTGCCAGATAAATTTTAAAAAGTCTTATCGGTGTTTCCCCTAGATAACCTGCCATGGCGGGGCGCTCATCTCGTCCGTGATTTTTGTCGACGTGCTGCTTATACTGGCAGACATAGGGTGGGTGGGGGGGGTGGGGGGGGGGACACATCTGATCCACGCGCTGTTTTGACCGACTGTTTTCGAGCGTGAGGGTTCGCATGAGTGAAGAGGCTGCCTTTAGCATTTTAGCTAGCGCACCTGTATTGCGAGCCACTAGCTTAGCGTTACATCAGTGCCGACAGGTGGGTGCGGGGGTGGAGGTTACGCGCAGTTCAGTAGATGGGGTGCTCGGTTCTGTTGACGGGGTAGCACACCCCGCTTGTATAGTGGTAGGCGAAACGCTGCTTATTTATCCCCCCTCCTTTTCTGTGCACATGTTCAACAAACAACACACACCTCATCTTAGAATATCTTTACTCAGCACATATGACCTTGACCTTGACCTTGATATGACAATTTAGGTCAAAATACTATCATTTTAAAGCCACAGTACTATAGTTCATAATTTCTTATCTGGCAACCCAACTGACATGGAAAATACAGCGTTTTCTGTAAACCGGCTCTTTTTTTTTTTGTTTATTACCGTAATAAAAATTGAAAATACACTCATATTTACAAATGTTGTTCTTGTGTAAACGGGGCCTTACAGTAGGTAGATCACTTTGACTTGGTCATTTTAAAAGTAGCTCACGTGCTGAAAAAGTGTGGGCACTATATGCTTTAACACCGTCTTGCTGACACATGGAAGACCTTCCCTGAAAAAGATGCTATCTGAATGGGAGCATGTGTTGTGCACTTTTCAGACGTGCCAAATGTGTTAGCTGCACACGTTCTAAGCACAAATGCACCCCCATACCATCAAAAAGGCCGACTTTTCATCTGTGGACCGGATGGAATGGCCTCGCTGCTTTTTTGTATGGCGGACATATAAAAGGTTTTTGCACTCAGACATTTCTCCAGATTCTTGAAATATTTTGATAAAATGAACGTTGCATGCTGGGATACAGGTCTCTCTTGTAAACGAGTCCCCGGGGCTCAGTGAGACTAACCTGTATAGTTAAAGGTTGAATGGATGAAAAGGATATTCAAAGTATTTTATTCTTTGAGGAATATTATTCTGAACACGTTCCACTGTTTGAGACCATTTTTCACAGGCTGGTAAAACTCTGCTCATTAAGGATCCAGCACCATCATGTCCTCCAGCCCCTCCCAGCTCATCGTGTCCCACGCCATTTGTAAGTGGGTCACCAGCATCTGGACAGACAGGAGACAGGTGATGATGGAAGAGGTCACTTCAGTCGCATGAACCATCAACCTCAGAGCCCCCAGAGTTGCATCTGCTCTTCTCCCCATATGTTACTGACGGCACCCCCTCCCACCTAGCTGTTAAACTCCTGAAGTGTGCAGAGGACATCACAACCACTGGTTTCATTGAAGATGACAGTTCTGTAATGGGTGTGCTTGACTTGTGCTTTAGTCAAGACAACAATCTGAAGCTGAACACGTGACAGTGGAGATGAGGATGCATCACAGTAGACACACCCGCCACTTCTCCCCACCCCCATCAATTCCTGCTGCCCTGTATCATTTGTGGACTCCATCAAGGTTTTGGAAATCACTTATCTTTCAGGGTTTGAAGTGGGAGAGCAACATTTCCATCCTCAAGAAGGCCCAGATGGACTTCCTGTGGTACCTGAGGAGGTTTGGAGTGCTGCAGGACAGCAGTCATTGAATCAGTCCTGTGTTCCTCCATCACGGTCTGGTTCAGAGCAGCCGCCAAACAGGACAAGAAAAATATTGAAACAGTTAGAAGACAGCAGAACAAATCATTTGAGCTCTTCAAGGTTCAAAGTGACTTGTCATTCGCATCACATGCGGTACATGAGGTGGAACAAAACATGTGAACGTGCTTATTGTGCAAGTATTGTGTTGTTCTGTGCTGCCTGAGAGACACCATCAGCCAGAGACACATTCCCAGTGTGTTCAACATCATCTTCACTTCTGAGAGATTCAGCCTCTCAGTCCTCCCAGTTACTAACTTGTTACCATTTAACCCAACTGGTCGCAAAATGCTGCTCCAGCTGTTTTACTTGCACGTGCAGCCTTTTGGTGTTCCTGTCACATCAGTTTTAAGATGAATTGCTGCCATCAAATTGAAAATGGCGATATTGGTCAATTTTTTTACTTGAAAAATGTAATGTTTACTTTGTCCCATGGTAAATAAAATGTGTTGGTGACTTTTTTAAATTGCGTTTTGTTTTTGTTGACATCTTACACGGTATCCCAATTCTTTTTGGAATTGTGCTTGCATAAACAATTAATGGGTGGATTAAAACTTTTGCCCAGTGCTATCTAGCGATAATGACTTTTAGTATTTCACGTTGAATGAGAGATGTTTTGTTTGTTTCGAAGAGTTCAAGTTAAATGCAGCTAGAACGAAGCTTTTACGAATGAAGAGTTTTTTGGTGGTGAAGTCAAAGTTGTGCAAACAAAAAAACACCGAACAACAATCTTATTTGTGAGTTTGTCAAATTTCAAATTCCAACCTAAAATCTGGCTTTTGACACACGAGTTCTGAAACTTTTGGATGCATCAAGCATCTTTAGGTCCCAGCACACGAAGCCGTGTAGCATAGTTAGGTGTAAGTTTTAAATAAGTTATCAGTACGCTGACATACGATGGCCTGCCCAAACACTGTTCATGCACAAAAAATTTAGTGCGTGCCGACTTGTTATAGGTCGGGTATAAGTTATAGACACGTGACAAGTAAGTTATGCATAAGTTCACACACATTACTTGTACGTTGCTCATAAGTTGACACTCCAAAAACCAGCTGGGTAATTGTGTACGTTTGCAAAACTTATTTCTAACCTGTGAGCACCTGGACTTATGCAGAGCTGATACGTTTGTGTTACTGTCACTGTACGTGTGCACAGCCTGTCTGAGCATGTGATGACCATGCGACATCAGATCTAAAAGGGCAGCTCTCTGCACCCCCCACCCAGTCTGTCATCCCAGTTTTGCATTAATCAACATGCCTTGGAAGAAATCTAACAAATCTGTGATGAAGGAAGCTGCAGCAGGATCCTCCATCTGTGTGGTGACAGTTGTGGACCTCTGCACATCATGGATCCTGCAGGAGTGAGGAGTTGCTCATCATTTGTACCCTATTTATAACGGAACCACCAAAGCTACGATGGCCGATGGGTGCGAACACATGAATGATGCAAAATAAATTACAAAATGCAACAGAAAAACACTGCAATTGAAAAATTCACAGAAAACATGAAAAACCATACAACGAATGCAAAGAAAATACGTTGAAAATTCCAAAAACCACACAACTGCAAGTAAACGCTGCAAACGGGAGCTAAAATGGAAGACGAGTAAGGGGACGTGACTCGTTACAGCTGAGCAGCCACTGGCCAAAAAGTGGCTCATTCTAGGAGTTTAATGCACACTGAGAACCTAAAGCTGCAACCTATTTTATTTGAA